GCTCTCTACAAATCGGCTTTTTACAAGAACTAAATCTAATGTTTGTCATTCTTTTTTTCTTATATGAACAGAATGCACAATATGTTCAACTGTTTTTTGATAGATCGTTTCCAGACCAACACATAAATTTAATGCATTCTTAACTCGAACAAGGTTGAAAACTATTTTATCTTATTATGATCTTTTCACAGGTTACTTTTGTTTGAAATGTATATTACTTGCCGTAACATGTTTATTATATCTAGACCACATACAGTATATATCTTCAGTTTCATCCAACAGAAAATTTATAATTCTCATAATATTTAGTTACATCGTAATATATATTCACATACGTTGGATTAAAACTTAATATGAGGCATTACATATGTTCATATAAAAATTGCATCAATTTTGATATTCTTGCATTTTTAATTTTGTTTGCACTTAAAGAATTTATAGAATTATATATATGTTGTGTGTCACATTGGTATATAAAAAGCGTTGCATATTATTAACATTATTATTCATATAAATTCTTTAATAATTAATCTTCTGTTAACTAAAATACTTTTCGTAAATTTATACAAGTTATAAGTATTCTTACTGTATTAACAAGACGACCGCATTCCTTATGAGTTCTAAAAAAACGTTCCCCCTGGTTTCCTCAACAAGTTACTTACACTATATAATTTTATATTTCTTCACGGTGTTCTAGCATCTTCATTTTCAAAATCCATAATTCAACCAATGTTTCAAAAAGGAAATCCTTAATAAGTCAATCACTTTTTGAATTTCCCGCGCAGTTACCCCAAATGCAACATTGCTGCCGTCAGCTGTAATCTACCAGTGGGCAACTTTTTAATTTTGAGCAAGCTACGTCAGTTGGTGTTTGATAGTCGTTCAAAGCAGACAACCTTATGAACTTTTACGAAAATGGAAAAAAGTGAATTTCGTGTGCTGATTAAGCATTACTGGCCAAAATCCACGAATTGGGATAGCCCCCTGCGACTATTTTCTGTTTCTAAACTTAAAGAAATGGCTGGGAGGTAAGAGATTTGAGTCGAATGAAGAAGTTATTACCGAAACAAACATGTATTTTGAGAGCTTTTAGAAAACTTATTATTTGAAGGGAATAAGAAAATTAGAAAAACGCTGGACTAATGTATCGAGCTAAAAGGTGATTATGTAGAAAAATAAAATGTTTCTTTGCCGAAAAAAATTTGTCTTATTCAAAAAGTCACTGACTTATCAAACCGCCCTCGTACTTTAGGTTTAACTCACAAGTTTTTGACCACACTAATGAAATTATACTCGAACACTAACAGTCGCATAGGGGACAGTAACCTTATGTTCTTATCTTGTCTTCTTCATTTAAAGTCACTCAAGGTGTAAAACAAGGTACATGCTCAGTCCGATTCTGTTCTCCCTGAAGATAAATGATCTGCACGACTTTTTAACGGGTGGAGTACCTATCAACTCAACTCATATGAAGGTGCGTATTGTATGATGATGATGTGGTTCTACTTGTGGTTCCAAAAATTTTCTACACGCAGTACGTTCAATTGTACTCTACGGTGCCTACGTTTAGGGTTGCAAACGCTATGATCAAGTGGAAAAACTCTAGATATTTTATAAAGAAGATACTATTTCTATCCAGTAACACCCCAAACCATATGCTCTACTTAGAAATGGGTTTACTAACGCAATTTATATACACAGTGGAAACACATTTCGCTTATGTAAGAAAAATTCTTAATCTGCCATCATCAGGAATATATTAGGTTAAAGATTAGGAAAATATGGATCTTAAATTATTACATAATAATATTATAACTTTATACAAACGAAGTGAACATGATGTCTTTGTCGCGAATGCTAGGTCGGCATCTCATGACTTTTATTACGAAAATTTTCAGCACATATCGAGCCTACTTTTTAAATGTAGAGGTGGTATTTTTAAACTGAACGGCATGGAATTATATCTGAACGTGATTGCTCTTTGTATAATCGCCAAAAAATAGAAAATATATGTCATATTATTGGGGTATGTTTGATAGACATAGACTTTTTTTTTTGACAAATTTTTTTTTCATAATTGATTATACATTTATTTTTTTTAATTTATTCTTTACCTATAATTAAGAAATTAGCACCTTAAACAGAGATGCTGCTCTGATTTTATAAAAAATTGAATTAAAATAATGTGCAAAATATTTAAAAATCTTTTTAAGTGTATTTTTAAAAATATTTGTTTATAAAAAATAATTAAATAAATAAACACAACATATAAAATATTAAATATTCAAAACATATCTGGGTTTTTTTTACCATTTTAATGAAGATTGCCTAAATACGAAGCTTTAAAGACCGTATAACTAGTGAGTAAATATACGGTCTTATGACTCACGTTTTGCAGTCTCCAAAACGTTATAGCAAAGTAACAAACCAAACTATCTACAGATATTCCTGCAGTTAATATATTCAACATTAATTAGTTAAAACTCACCTCTTGAATTATAAATAATTTGATTTTGAGGTATATCTTCATAAACCAACTTTTTCTAAATTTTGATGATTTTTCGGCATTTATAATATTTTTATATTCTATAAAAGAGTAACCAAGTAATATTGTAAGAGTGTAAAGGGTCAATAATAAAAACCAATTCAAATAAATGTATTTTGTTGTTGCCACTTTGTATATCATACTGTTATTATGCTACTGAGATTATTACCAGAAATTATGAATATACTACTAGAATTCGACCCTTACTCAGGCTTGACTTCGATAAGATGTTAATGTTTGAAACTGAATGTTTGTGTTTACGCTTGAATTTTGTATGCAAAGAAAAATTTGTATGCGTTGGTGAAAAAGTGAAAGTGCATGCAAATATTTTGCCAAAATAAGCGAGTGTAGATCTAGGTTAAAATTTATTTATGTTATCAATTTCTTTTTATTTGCTCATCAGTAAATATGTTTCAAAGTATATATATTAATTATTTCAAAACTTACCACACTTAGTAGCAAACGGATACATAAACCATTAAATATTTTTTCTGACAGAGATCGTATGTTTATTAGAAGAAAGCCCGTATACGTTCTTGAACTTTGCATTAGTACTAAAATTAATAATAATTATGTGAGCAATATTAAAACTAAAATAAAATAATAAAAATAAAATAAAATAAAATAAAATAAAATAAAAAAATAAAATAATACAGCGTATTGAATAACTGAATAATTTGTTTATTTGAATTATGAATTTGACCGTAATAAGTATTCTAAGACTTGGAACTCATAATGGCAATTATATAGCAAATAAATTAGATAAGCTAGGGTTTAAATTATTTTGAAGAATGTAATAAAAGCTACAGCATTTGACAAAAAAAAATTAACTAATTTTTATCTGAACAAATAAGGATAGTATACACAAGGAAATCCCGTTCTTCGTCAAAAAGTGATAAAAAAAATGGGCTAGGACTATAATAATGTGATTTTAGAATTTTGTGTTACAGTGTATTACGTACCGCTACAACTTACACCTGCTAAATTATTCATCACTGACCAAAAAAATGGAGTTAGTGGTGTCAAGTGGCAATTGAGTATTTAATTGACAGTTACATCCTGTACTTGACATATGGTAATAAAAAAACAGGAATTAACAGAAATAAACAATTCAATTCAGTTAATTAATGGGTTGTTTTTTTTTTTAATTAAATAATAAACCCATATGTACAATAAATACATGTACCACATGTCTTTTGGACTTTCTATCTTTTGCAATTAAATGAATACAAGTCTCAAAAAATAATTGAAAAAAACGATAAATATTTATGTAAATGTTCATGTAGATCTAGTTAAGTTACTATTACTTAAGTCATAGCTTAAGTTGCTGCTAGTTAATCAGTCTCATTGGCTAACTACAATAGAGCCTATGATTCATTATACTGCCACTACTTATTAACAGGCCATCCTAACTATTAGTTAAATATGAAGTCATTTCAAGGCCTTAATAAAGCATACTATTTTTTAGTTTTATTGATAGTTCTATCGACAGTTCTGTGAAAGAGATAAAATAATAATTGTCTTAGATCTTTACTCTAGAGCTGAGCAATTGCAAAACTTTGATATAAGTATAAAAGTTATTAATATTAACAAATTAACAGTTAAACAAAATTTTAATTATATTTATCATATTTTACCACATTCAAAATGAAACATAAACTTTAGTTTACAAAAAATTTTTAATTGAAATATAAATATAAATTTAAATATAATATTGTTATCCAAACAGTTAAATATTTACTAAAAAAAATTTATACATAATAAAAATAATCAATTACAGCTTAAAATAAATATTGTTCACATTTAAATTACGATTATATTTTATTTTACTTAATATAATTAAAATTTTCTTAAATTTATTCTTTTTTTTATTAATAATTTTGTGTTTTTTTTTTTTGAATTAATATCATTTTGATATAAATAATTTATATAATTTTTTTTAAACTGAGGTCAAAAAATATTAAATTTAGAAATATTTTTAAAATAATTATTAAATAAAAACAATGCATTGAATCATGTAACATCTTATGCAATAAATATTTATATTACATATTTATTATTCTTTCAATTTTATTTTGTTTTTAATTTAAAGAAATTTTATTGTATATGAAATAATTATATTTAAAAATAATTATATTTAAACTATTTTATTGCTAACATAAACAAAAATATTTTAACTATAACGGAATATATTTCTTGATTTTTATATATAATTTTTAATGTGTTTATAAAAGTGCTCATTTAAAATATTTAATAATAGTTTTCAAAAATAAAAAAAAAAAAATTTTTAACTTTTTTGCTCTTTCAGTTTTATAAAAGTTACGATTAAAAAAATATAGAGAAAAAAACATAAATTAAATTCGAAAATGGAGAGAAAAATTAACAATTTTTAAATAGTTAATATATACCTACAATAATGAGACTAATTTGTTCATAAATTTTTTTTTATCTTTTGTACAAAATCATTAATCGTTTCGTTTCACATCCTTCAAGGATTGTAGTATACAAATTTTGATATTGCTTCAATAATTACACTAACCTTAAAGTATTACATATAATTTTAATATAGTACAAACTAATAAAGTTATATATAATGGAAAACAATGGTATCTTTGGTTTCTTTGAAACACAAGCAATATTTGCATGCAAACTATATACAAAGCTTTTATAATTACATATACATATGTTTATATGTATGTATAGTAGCAGATATCAATGAGATTCAACGTTAAAATTATGTCCTGCAATTCTCCTAACAATTCTCAAGTTCTCAGGTTCAGTTTAAATTACTCCATTTTCACCACAGTTTGACGTTCAAATTTACGACTGAACTCCTGCAAATGTTGCTGTGCAACTGCGTGCAATTCAAACAATGGCTGATGTTGTTGTTGCTGTTGGTGATGGTGATGACTGTGATGTTGATGGTAAGCATGATGATATTCATCAAGCTCCTCTGATGAGCTGCGACTTAATGCAGCAGCAATATGTTGTTGAAATAAATGTTGTGCTTCTTGTTGGTGATGATGATGATGCTGTTGCTGTTGCTGATGAAGTTGATTTTGTTGCTCTTGTTCGTGAGTGTTTGTAAGTTCTATTTTAATTTCTGGTCCACTACCGCTTGACATTATCACATCAAAACTATCATATCCAGTGTGATGATCATGTGCTATATGCTGATCGTGTGTTGGTTGGTTATATGCTGATACAATACCATTTGGATTGACATCAGAATGCAATTGTTGATGTTGTTGCAGACCATGATGATGGCGACGTTGTTGTTGCAATTGGTGTTGTTCCATCATCGTTGTTGTTGTTGTGGTTGTTGTTGCTGTTATTGGTGATGCAGATGCTGTTGTTATTGTCGAAACTGCTGTCGGTGATATGGTGGAGCTCGTTGTGCTGCTGCAGTTCGTGTTGCTCTTGTTGTTGATGTTGTTCGTTTGAATTGTTGATGATGCTGGCATCAATTGCATAATTTGTTGTGCTAACAGTTGTTGACGCTGTTGGTGCTGTTGCTGCTGATGCTGTTGATCTTGGAGAGACGATGACTCTTGTTGGTGAGTTTGTAGAAATTTCTGTATAAACTTTAAATTGTTATTGCTTGCATTTACGTTGTTATTGTTGTTGTTATTATTATTCATATTATTATTGCTGTTATTATTATTATTATGATAATCGGTATTGTTGTTGTTGTTGTTATGTAAATGACCATTATGTGTTGGTGATGTGGATGAGTTAAACATTATTGGTGAATTTATATGATGTATTGGTGAAATTTGCTGATAAGGCGATTGTTGTTGTTGTTGTTGCTGCTGCTGCTGCTGCTGTGTTTGTTGCTGTTGCATTTGCTGTTGGCGATCTAATGGTGAAACGTTACCATCTGTTTGATGTTGTTGTTGTGGTGTTATTGGCGAGATGGGAGATAGACCCATTTGTGCGGTTGGTGGACCAGTTGATGTCAATACACCACATGACATCTGCGATGTTATTGAGCTATGATCTTCTATAGGAGAACTTGCTCCCGAATTTTGTTGATTTATTTGACTTGACTGTAGTGGAAGATGTTCTTGTTTCATCTGCTGTTGTTGTTGTTGTGGCAAGACAGACAAATTGGCTTTTACATCTAAGGCCCAAATGAATTGATGATTGGTGATTGATGTATTTAATGACATATGAGTAAAGTTATATTTTGTGAGTTTATGATGTAGTTAATATATGAGTGAAAGAAAAAGAAAAAAAAAGAAAGGAGACAAAACAAATTAATAAGCATGCCCACATAGAATATGTTTAAATGTAAATGTTTAAGTTTTTTATTGTTATACTTTCAAAAATCGGTAAATATTAATAGTTTTTAATTATATATTCAAAATAAAGTTCAAACTGTATGCACTATATTACCATAGAATGAGTAGATTGTAAATGTGCCGATAAAAAATCAGTTTAAAATTTTTAAAATTAAATAACAATACAATATTTATACTATATATTAACAAATTTATAAATATTATTAATACTGCAGAATAGTTTTCAAACTTTAAGCTTAGTTACATTTATAACATATTGAAGACATACATCACTGAGTTTATATATTTATATATATAAACTCGGTAATGTACGTCTTCGGCTGCTTGAAGTTATATCAATATTTTGTGGATGCAATTAAGCTTAAAGTTTGAAGACCATCTAGCAATAACAATACATACTTTATATATATAATATATATTAAGTATATATATAACATATATTAAGTATATATATAATATATATGTATATACATACAGTAGATATAGTATATATAGGTTTATCGTGCTTTAGCTTGCTAACGTAAATGCCTTTGCTTTTACTTTACAATAATATCTCTTCATGTTCTACTATTAGATCAAAATTATCCATATTTTCAGTCTTATTCTTTAGAGCTCATCAAAATATATACAGTTTGAAATCTCTATAATAAACAGCATAATTATACCAAAACCCCATTCAAGTGCATACAGTCTAACTTATAGCTACATTATCTATATAGCACCTCATATGATAATTGATTAAATTTACCTTCAGTTAAGCTGTTGTTGATATTTAAATTGGGTGCAGTATTAGTCCCATTGTTATTAGTGATAATATTTTTTATCGCATTTTTTACAGCTTTTTCAGATTTACTTCCTCTGGGTTTACGCTTTCGTGTCTAACAAAACAATAAAAGAAAAACAAATTAAAACAATAAAGAAATAAAGAAATATATTAATTATATATATGAATAAATTCTTACCTGAATTGTATCTTTTTTCATAGTCAAAGGACGCTTGACGTTGTGTAGCTTGAAGTAAAGACCACAGGCATTACAAACGGGATTGCCATTTATATTGCGACGCCATAACGAGGTAGTCGTAGTCGCGCAATTGGAGCAGGAAATACCAGCTCTTCGTGATGCACTCTGTGATAAAAGCGAAAGTTTATTAGAAAATTAAAAATGTGGTAAAATTGTATACATAATATGAATTTTTAAAAATTGGTTTTTTTTGTAGAACAAAATTTTTGAATTATTGTTTTATTTTTATTATTTATTACTTGTTTTCTTTGGGATAGGAAATAATGTATTTCTGTTTTTCACCTACCAATCTGCGCGAGATGGAACGACTAACGTGCTCCTCAGTAGCCGTTGTTGGCGTCCGATTTGCCACATTATACGGATTGTAGGAATTCTTATAATAATTCCCGCCTGATTCAGCGGCCACTGTAAAATTAATTTATAATTTTATTTTAATGCAAAATATTATTTTAAAAATATTTTTTATGCTACAATTTTAAACATATTAACAACAATTGTTGTTAAGTTAATTTTTTTAAATAAAATTTTAAATTTATTTTAAGAACTACAAAATTAGGCCTAAAAATTAAACAAACAAAAAAAAAACGTAATGAAAAAAATATATAAAGAAAAGGCGTGCGATTTATGCTTCTGCTACTTTATTAAATAATATTTTATAATAAATTCAATTAATTTTTTGCATTAATTTAACACATCACGATCTTTGAACAAAGCGAGAACGTTTCCTAGATGGACGTAGGCGCAGAATTGGGCTGACACATTTTTTTATAATGGGTCTCTATCTATGCTACATATTCAAAAATTTTGTTCCATTATAAATTTAATTTAAATTCATTTTAATTTAGATTTACTTTAAATTTATTTGCTTTATTGTTTCAATTTGATATTATTATTAATTATGCATTTTACTAAATTACCAATCTTCTAGGTTGTTTAATTAAAGGACGATTCATTCCGTTCATTTTGTGATAAAGACCGCACGCATTGCATAAATAGTGTCCGGTATTATCACGTCGCCACAATGGAGTTGATATTGCACCACAATTGACACATTCTCGCCCCTCAGTGAAAAAATCGGCATCGAAAAATGCTTTAAAATTTACAATAATTTTTTTTATATATAAAAACTTTTTATTTAATGCACAAGAAAACAAAACATTAAAAAGAACTCTTATATGGTTTAACTAATTGTGTGTTTGTTGTAATTTTAATTGTAGTTGTGTATGATATGGTGTTTTAAATTTTTAATATATATATATATATATTATATATTCAACAGTTATATATTAATTGAATTTATTATAAAAAACATATATTTAATAACAATAATAAGATATATATAAATATCTACACATGTACTATGTATTTATATGCATATATATATATATAATATATACAATGCGTAGAATATTTATATATAAATTTGTGTCTTATTTAAGAGTGTTAGAAATTACAGAATTGAAATAATATTAAGTCCCAATAATGTATACATGAACATTAAATTCATATATATATTAATAAATATATTAAATAACAAATAAAATTTACTTATATCTTATATCTCAAAAACATATTCAAAAAAATTCGATTAATAATATGCAAATAAAATATAATACTTTGTACATTTGCATATTGCAATATAATTTTAAATAAAATATTAATAAAATGAACAACAAACTTATAAAAATATATAAACTATATAATAAAATGTACTTCTATATAAGTATAGAACTTCTTAATATTTAAATACTTTGTAAGATAAAATTTCATTAATAATTTGAAAAACTCTGTGGATCCACAAAGGCATCTAATGTTTTAGACTGCAATGCAACTCGACAATATTTTTTTGCCAAAAAGAAATTAATGAACGTCTAATTTCGAGTATGAATTTTAAAATATTAATAAAAAAACTTAACCATATTTAAATCATATATTATATCCTTTACCTTAATTCAACCTTAATTCGATCATTTAGATTGATTCCCCTAATTTATATATCTCGTATATCGATTGAAGAAGCTTTATTCTTTTTAAAATGAAATATAATCTAAATTTAATATACGTGAGCACCTTAAAGATCGCCATGAAAATTAGTCGGGCAAAAGAAAGCAGTAGGTAAAGGTAAAGGACTACATATTCCCTTCTATGCGAATAGAAAGTAAGAAGTCAAAGGCTAATTTTTAGTTAACAATTTTATGTGGTATGACAAGAAATATATTTCAAATAGAAAAATTTTCAAATACAAAAGAAATTTTTTTAATAAAGTAAATTCTTTATATTATTATGACCATGTTATTTTAAATATCGCTTAATATTCACCAATTAGTGGTCTTTAAAAAATATGTTTGTTAAATGATATAAAATTGCAGCTATATATTTATCACTAATCTTCATTCAATGTAAATTTAAAAACAATAATATTTTATTGAAGTGAAATTACAACAATTACAAATAGTGCTGTATAGCGCACATTTTCAGACAACAGAACATAAATATTGCTCGAAAACGTTCTAGACACCTAAATGTACTGATCATAACTTGGAGACAGATGAAGGAGTCATAGAACGAGATTGGTTAGATTTAAGCTGATAATAGATGATAATCAAATGACATACTGCTTCAGGATCTATTGAGATACCTCTAAAGAAAGTTTCATAAGCTAACCTAGAACAACTAAAACTACTGAGATATCTAAAACTATCATTGGGTTTAAAATGTTTAAATCGCTACATTCGCTTAGTAGTCTGCAAAGAAGTTGCATTGATAGATTCAACAAGACCATATTTATACTGCAAGGTTGGAGATAGGTTTTATCTAAATATTTACCTGTAGCAACTTAAATTATTTTAGTCAAATATACTAGTTCTTAGAAATTTTTGCAGATATACACCGAATATATAGTCTATATTTCGATATATAGCTCTATCGAAATGGTATAATTTTAAAATACTTAATTAGGTTTAGTTACCCACATTGCATTCTTCTATCCTCACATTCTGTTTTAATTTTTGTTATTATTATTATTACGTATTTTTTCTGTTATGAATCTTGTTTCTTTATGTATTTTCTATCTGTTAGAGTTTTCAATGCCTTTAAGATATATGAATGAGTAAAATAATTATTAGTACAGAAAACATCTCAAATTACTTGACTTTTCACAATATATACAGAATGTGTTTGAAACTTTTCTATTATTATTATCAAAAAGGGAAAAGGGAAAGGGACACTGCGACTTAAAAGATCTATTGTGCCCCTAAGTCGGATTAGTGTCTTTCTCCAGTTGATTTCTTTAATAAAAGATAGTATAGGACCTATCTTTCTTAGTCTTGAATCTCTATTGTGCATCAGTGCCGAGCACTGCCCTAGCATATGGTATATGGTTTCACTCTTTTCTCTACAGTATTTAAACTTCTCTATTGAATACAATAATTTCTATATTATTCTATATTCTTATTATTCTATTTTATTTTATATTAAATAGGTACTACCATCATTACTAATGTTAAAATCAAATGTAATATATACTATACTGTAAAAGTATTGTTCATATAAAAAAAATTGTTTTGCGTTTTTATGTATTGGCTTCTCTATTCGATCTTAAAAAACTTTTGCAATTAAATTACAATAAAATTATAAATTTCCATTCTAATAGAGCCTTGTTATTTCATCTATTCAACATTTCATTTATATTTCTTTTAACGAAAAAAAAATCGCACCTTCTGCGTGTCTTACATTGGTTTACTCAGGTTAGGCAAATACCTAATCCCAACTATCCAAACATTTTCTAATTCCACAAGTACGTAAGGAAATACCAAAAATTTACTTAGGAAATCTTGTTGTAATTACTGTAAATATAGACACTTTTTGGTATTATTCGTGGTGATTTATTTTAGCATAATTTGTGGCCACACATGCGTGTGAATTCGTCCTTTTCACATAGGATAATATGTGTTTGTAAAGTGCGCTAAGAATAATAAAATTAAGCACATACAGGATTTAAGCAGAGAAATGACACACCAGAGACGAAAAATTTAAAATACATATATAGAATTTTATGAAGTCGGCTTTTAAAAATCTACGGAATCTACCTTCCAATATCAAACCAAATGAATGTAGTGCTCATTGAATATTAATAGAAATATTCATAATACTATAGAAATTCTTACCATAACTAAAAGCATTTCTATAAACACATCTCTATATTCTTAGCTTAAACTAAAACTTAACTAACTTAGAACTAAGTAATATCCTATTTCACTTACTTGCTGACAACGAAGCTGATGCACTCAAATGCGCCGTTAAACCACCCGGTACACCATCATTAGCAACTATTGCATTGGAGCGTCCGTTAGCACTACGTATCACATTTGTGTTGCCAGCTAATGCACCGCTTATTGCCGGACTTACTACAGCCGTTGGTGCAGCATAACTAATTGCTTCATAATGATTTGGCCAAGTGTCATTCTACATCACAACGAATACGAGTAAGTTAGAAAATTAGTTGAACAAAAAGAATAAAAAAATAAAAAAAACCTTTGTAACACTTACATTACTTCTGTAATTTGTTAATGATGTATATCGTTCGGCGCCGTTAGCTGTGGCGTTATTTACATTAGCCACACCGCCATAACTTCCTGCAGCGATACGCTGGAATGCAGGTAATGCACCGCCGCCATTACTGTTATTGCTTTTCGGTGAATCGTAGTCATCATTATTGATTGAATTGGAATCAGAGCCAACACTATTTATGCCTGTTGTGCCTGTCGTAGTTCCTCCAATATGCGAACCCGGTGTCGGTGTGGTGTTTTGCGGTGGTGACGCTGAAGCTGCAGCGGCTGCCGCTAACGCCGATTGCATACCATATTGCATGCCATTCGTAGCTGAGGCTAGCAGAGGCGCAGGATAAACTGAACTATAAACATAAAAAATGTTATATATTAGATAAAACAGTTGTTCTTGTCAGGTTCTACTTCATTTTTCAGTAATAAATTTAAAAAAAAAATATATAAATATAATTCTCACAATACTTTTTGTTTTAAGAAAAATGTGGAAAAATTAACATCTATAAAAGCCAAATTATAAAGATATTGCGAGAATCAAAAATATTTAAAAACTTGTAGGGCTTAAGTCCTTATCTAGTATTTTTTTATTATAGAAACATCATCGATTTACTAAATCATCGATCGCTTTAAAATATATTGTAAGAATTTTGAATGGGAACGAGTTTAAATTTAAAATTTAGAAATTGTTAGTTCACGATAAGCGCGTATAGTAAATCCTTTAAAGTCTATTAGAGTTTTGATCAGGATGGCTTTGAAACTGAATTATGCTATTTCCACACGAAGATAACTATAAGATCTATAAATTTTAATGGTAATATACTCAGACACAATCTTACAAAAATTTACTTGGGAAGAACGCTTGATAGAATATTGACACTTTTAGGGTTTATCTTCTGAAAAGTGTTAAAAAAATAAAAACGAGAAACAATATCATAAACTAAATTTTGTGATAATGATTTCTAAAAAAAAAATCTGAAAAATATTTTAAATTGAATAAAAAAAAGAATTGCGTTAAAACAAAAATATTTTTTAATCAAATAACTAAATTTTCAGTCTCTTTTGTCTAATATTTTTAATATTGGATTCACAGTAAAGTTTATTCTAGTTTATTATAGAATTCACACCGCATGTAATTTAAACTGTCATTTTAAATTATTCTAAATTTCGATATTAAAACTAGTTCAAATCAAGATTTATATGGAAATTTGGGCAGTTTAAAAAAGGATTGAATCATAATGTCTACAAAATCAAATTGATTTTAACTTGGAAAGTTTACCGTAGTACAGTATTGTGGAGTACAAACTTATGCTATTGTGAATAGTTTTTAGAAATGAATGAAATTTTCATACATCATGATTTTTATTTATTATATATACGAGTATATTATATGTGCATAGTAAATATTGTGTGAAAGTAGTTAAAAAGTGTGGATGATAGGTCCACACTTTTCAAATTACAATGACATTTTGTGTGAATCCATGTTTTTGCTTTTTGATGTCAGACGTCAATTTAAAATTTTAGACAACTTAAATTGCAATTAAACTTCTCGTGTGAATCCACCATAACATTGATTAGTTAAACAAAACTTGTTGACTAGTGTAATATACCATAAAGAAAGAGATCGGTTACGTTGAGGTCACATCCATGTGTGAGTGAATACAATACAAGTTAGTAATGTAATAAACTTTTTTTGCAGAAATACTTTTTTTCCAATTAGAGAAATTTTAAATTTTATAAAATTGATTATTTAAAACAATTGTTTTTTTATATATTCAAAAGTTCAAGAAATGATAAATTACCCATAGCAGTAGCTCTTCAAGTACATGTTGTTGTAGTTCGATAAGAACATTTTTGTCGCTACACTTTTCTTCTATTTGAGCAGTTTTCTTTTAATTTGTTCTACTGTTGTTGTGAAATTGTTGTTGTTCTTTTTTTTGTGTTTAATACCCGGACAAAAAGTTTCAAATGTTCATTTTGTAATTTACCCCGTTAATGACGTGCAATATAAATAAATTTTGTTGCAACTAATAAGAAGAAGATTATTTTAGGTATGCTTTTAATTGCATTTTATGTAATGAAAAAACAAAACACTTTAATATATTTTTACACATTGATGCTTTATACAATAAAGTTGAGTTAGTGAATAAAAAAAATAATTTTAATGTTTATATCTTATTTAAATTTATAAGAATAACCAATAATTAAGTGGACATACCTTATTCCGCATTTAAAAATAATTCGTGCAAGTGTAAACTGGGTAAATGTTTAAAGGAAATAAAACAAACGTTTATGTAAAAAAACTAAATACATCTAGTCCGCCCTAGTATAGGTCGACATTTAAACTAGGATTACATAGTATAAATATCAACATTACATAAAATAAACGCTGTAATAAAGTCTGGCCCATTTTGGCTTTGTACATAACATTTATTTTAAATATTAAAAACAGGGATGTGCATTTTTTTGCTTCATCAACCAAGCGTAGGTGACAAAATTGTTCAATTAGCGAAATTCGAATGCTTCCTACATACGCAACATAAAAATGGGAGTAGAGTGTTTAAAGTCTCAATGAATCATGAATTTAATTACATTAACAAAAATTGTTTTTTTTTTATAAATTGTTGCATTGTTTTGTTTTTATTTATTGGACCAATTTGGTATATAAAAGTAATAAGAATTTTATAATTTGTTTACGTTTAAACTTTTTTCTTATTTTTCCTTTTGAATTTTTTCTGATGAATGAAATTATGCCAAAAGACCACCAGGAAACATATTAGCTTGCTGCTATTGTAATTAATACAAGCACATGCACAAAGAGGTTTATTAATTACCCTACATCCTGCTCTCATGACATATATTCGCCAAATAAATATTTCAACATATTAATATATATCATTATATAGATATGTTACATGGAATATTTTAATGTCTGTTAAAAATTAAAAATACTAAAAAATGTCGAAAAATGGCATTAAGAAATCATTGCATCTATCAGACTGTTCATCGGTGAACAAACCTATTAAGTTATCTAAATTCGACGGATTGGATTTAGTCTCTACTCTTCAATATTAGGGGTTCTTGCGAGGAATGTGGTAGCAAAACAACAAAAAAATCGCTAATTAAGGTACATGGCCTGCCATTGCAACCAATTAACCAACCACTGCATCTAAGTTTAAAAAATAATAAAAAAACAATATATATGCTAACTGTATTTGTGTTTGATTTAAAGCTACTAAGACAGTAGACCAAATAATACTTAAGTTATCAAAATTGAAATTAAAAGATACTTTAATTATCAAAATCAAAATTAAAATATTATTTAATGTTGTTATTTTTTAATATTATTTTATTTTAATATTTTTATTGGTCTAAAAAATTTTAATTTGTTCCATATTCCTACACTTTCACATTATGGCAAATATATATGTATCTTACGTTAAAAAAAATTTAGAGATAATTTGGTAAAATAAGTTTTTCGGCAAAACGATAGAATATTTTCAAAAAAAGAAAAAAAATCAAACTTTAAACCATCATAATTTTAAAAACCATTTAATTGGAAGAAAATATTAGGTATCTAAATCAAAAATTCTTAGTTGGATAAAATTTATCTTATTTTTAAACTTCTATCTTATATTCCATATCCTTCATTGATATTTTTTTAAAACTAATTGTATAAATAATTTTTGAGACATTGAGGTTTTTTGACTACAAGTTTTTTCAAAATATTCTTTGACACAATGTATAGATTACTCTACCATACGAATTTCTATTTTTTTTTTGACTACTCATTTATGCTACTTTGTCACAAGTTTTTTTGAAAGATTTCTTTGACACTATATATCTCAGCAAGCATCAAAGATGGACCCCTCTATCATACGAATTTGCACTTTTGTTGGACTGTGAAAGCATCTGCTGATCATTCCTAAATTTGCAGTAGTAAATTTATTTGAAATATGTGCAAATGACACTAGTCTTGTCTTTCTACTAACAGGATGTAGGCGCTATCATTAATTACATCGAACTATTAAATTTATATTCTATTGATATTCATTTCATCGATATTGTAATGTTAGATTTTCATTTTTAAATGGTTATACATTCACATAAAGATTAGTTTAAACAAAAAATAAATTCCATGATTTTCTACTTTTGTAATTACAAAAAACCAAAAAAAAAAAAATAATGCAGAAAAATAATACTCTATAAAATATTTGATATTGCATCAACATGCACATATAATGCTAACTCAATTTGTAGCGAACTTTATAAACAAAATTTTGCACAGTTTAATTTGTCAAGGAAGAATATTCCGTTTGTTTACACTAAGAAGAATTGTATTGTATTGGATACAATTCTATGTGTAATACAATTCTCTTAATAATTTACGACAAACATTATTGAACTGTCCGACTCGTCATAAGCCAATGGTTATGACGAGAATGAAGAAGAAGAACAAGAAGAAAAGAATGTACTGACGTGGACAGTCTCATACGCCACCTTGCAGTAGACGACGCACAATGTTCATTATTTTGAGTTTGTTTTTATTCCATTCTGTTTGGAATAAAATCAGTAGCTGAGTCAATATTTTCATAATGTTGCAAGGGTTTGTGCTGCAACAATTGTTGTTGTTCCATTGTTCCAATTGTTAAAGGTAAAAGGAGTTTGAAGTGATCTTCTTACTTTGTTCAATGGCAAACGAAATAAATTAAAAAAAAAAAATGTTGCACGGATACATTTAACTGTTAAAAGACAATGTGTAAACATTTTAATTAAGTTGGATTGTTCTAAATATAAATTTGTGGTATGTTAATATGTTATTGTTTAATTTTTAAATGCCCAAATATTTTTTATGACACTCATATGATATATGCATATTTCAATATTTACTGAAAATAATTGGATTGGAAATAATTTTTTAAAAGTTATTTTTTATTTTTAATTTTTTACACAAATTTAATTTGTATTAAATTAATTAATTAATTTTATACTATAAAAGCATTGATTTTATTGATTTTATTTATTTTTTTATTTTTAATAAATTTCTTATTTTTAATTGAATTGGCATTCAAATTTTGTACTTTTAAAGTATTAACACTTATGAGAATTGTTTCTTCTTCGTTTATAATTTTAATTAAAAAATTATTCTATTATATAATTAATTACATATTATTTTAATTTTAAATAAAAATTTTTCTCTTGTATTTACATTTAAAAATACTATTTCCTTCCAATTAAAATCAAAATTTTGATCATAAATCAAAATTTTATATTTTAGAAGTGTTAATTTTTTTTTTATTTTTAAATAATAATTCTATATTTTTATCATATTCACTTTTAAAAGATAGTTTTT